CAAATCAACTCCAAAACCATCTTTGGCTCAATCCTCCACCTACTTAGGTCTAATTGACCATGTTGACTAGGACAACCCAAGTCCTCCGGATTCGATGCTGAGATCACAATACCGTCAGATAATAGAGCATATTTACATTAGACCTAAGTAGGTGGAGGATTGAGCCAAAGATGGTTTTGGAGTTGATTTGAATTTAAATGAAAATGATTTTGGTCAATTGGGTCAATCAGGTTGACCCAAGGCTTGGGTCTGGGCTCCACAGACTAGGCTAGACCCACTGAACTCAATGGAATAGGTCTTGGGGTCTGGCTTGGTCAATTTGACCAAGTCAACCCCACTTGACCTAGGGTTGGGTGAAAATCAAGGTCAACACCCATTTGCTAAATCACTCGATCCAAATCTAAAATTTTCGAGTCAGGTTCAAGTTAGAATTTCTGGTCATGTTATATATTAATACGCATACATTAAGTCATTAAATTGTAATTTATTATCTTTAAGATCAAAACTATAATATCTTATGCTTAAATTCTTATAATATAAAAAACCTAAAGAGATTAGATAACTTATAGGGGAAAAAAATCTTGAAGTAGGGGTTTAAATTTTCGATAAAATATAATTATATAAATTTTCTAATATAGATATTGATTGGTTTAAATTTTAAGTGATGACTCTACAATAATATTTTATGAAAATAAATAGGTGAGAATAAACTACTAAAAATTTAATTATGACAAGTTTTAAAACTTATATGTAGCTTTCAAGTCAAATAAAATTAAGAATATTAATTTCATTTTAATCAATTTTTTGTGAGGGTATCTTGATTCACTTTTTCTTCAATATTTTATCTTTCGTTTTCAACTAAATAAATCAAATTATTTTTAAAATAATCAAAGCAACTAATATATTTTAATGTTTTTAAAAATAAACATTACATTTCCATCACCTTTTCACCAATCATGGGCCGCCAGCCTCTAAAGCCAGTCGACACTCCCAACCATCATTAGCTACTACCTTTGGCAACCAATTCTAGCTACTACTGTTCTTCCGAAGACTACTTCAATTATTGTATGAAGATATTTAATCAATATTTAAGAAAATTAAGAATATATATCTTTGTATCAAATGTATTTTATTTTAAATAAAAAAATAAAAGTGATCCAAAACTCTCAGCGCAATAAATGAAAAAAATGGGAATTATGAAGAATTAAGAGATTGTTTGGTTGCTTGGAAAAGGAATGCAATATTGTAAAGTAAACACATTGTATTTATAATACTTTAAGGCTCGTTGGTTGTCTTCCATGATGATGGCAGCTTCAATGGCGACCTTCTTCTCCCGTTACAATGAGGATGGCTTCTCCAGGAGGGCGAAGGAGAGAAGAACACTTGTGGGAGGACAATTGGGATTTCACTCTTTTTTTGTACGAGAGAGTTGCAGTGTATTTGGAACTCGCTTGATTTTAGCGGGTTTCAAATACATGGCCGAGAGAATTTGGAATGCTTTACTTCGTTACTATAGCATTACTTTACTTCGTAACAAATGCGGAAAAATTCAAAAGCCACATATTCACATTACAGTGCACACTAAATACCCTAAACCAAACAGCCCCTTAAACGGCAAGCGTCTATAGTCATATGGGAAAAATTATTAAGTGCAGATGTCGAATGTGTCTGGATGTCAATCAGGAGCCACCACATCACCCAATACACAGTACATTACTTGACATGGCAGCTCCTAATTGACCTTCAGATACATTTAACGTCCACACATAATAATCTCTCGTCACATGGACTAAAAAATAAGCGCATGTGAATATCGACTGCCCCTTAAAAATCTTTTATTATGTCACATATAAAACTGACTTCCACATGTCTCAAAAGCCAATCGTATATAGTCGTCATCAAATGAATACAACAAAGCTACTCAATCCGAACATGTCTACAAAATTGAATAAAAGCAAATCATTTCGAATATGGACAACTAATACTTCAAATTCGTAAATAAAATAACTAAGAGAGAGATAATCAACGTTCAATACTAACCACTACAAAAAATATAGTAGTTCCTTAGCAACATATACTCATTCAATCGCGAGAGAAAATAGCTAGCAAAATAAGGTGAAAGTTAAAGTATTGCGTACTGAAGAAATTTAAGAGGATAGGAAAATG